TTGTTTTTGTTGTTGAATAGATAAATTATCGGCTTGGTCATTGGAGTTTGTATAATTTCCTATCGTTTCAATTTAAAGTTAAACGGCCGTATCCTGTGATCAATGTTCCGACGTGCCTTTTTGCTTCATTTATCTGCGCGAACACCTGAGAGTTTAAAAAAACAACAAATCCTTTTGTTTTTAATTTTCCTTCCACCACCGAGGACAGGTACTGCATTATGAATCTTTTGACATCTTATTACCATAGATGAGAGCGCAGTTCAAATTCGGCTTTTAACATTGGCTATCATCTTAAAAGGGAATAAATACGAGAAAAACGTTCATTACTGCCGCAAAATGAACAAAAATAGACAAAAATATCGTTTAATACAATGTTGCTTTCTATATTTTTTTACAATATTTTTCTGAGCTGTTGTCAGTCGATATGCTTCAGTATATGTGGTTTTTTTTATTTTTTAACGATTTAATCGCTCAGAGTTCTTATCGTATACGAGGTTGTCCAAGATAATGAACCGGCTTTTCAGACAAAATAGTTGGGGGAATTCTCATACAGACGCACATAAAGCCTGTTATTTCAAACACAATCCTTATTTGTACATTATATTTTTTTACAATACCTTTTAATTATTAAAACAGGTCAATCGCTATCTATCAATTTTACACTATTTCTTTATAATAAAAAAGTAAGGAGAAAAAATACAATACAATGCTTATAACTAACTCAACATTAATAAAGAACAAAAGGGGAATTGGGAATTTTTTTTATTGTATACAGGGTGTTCGGCTACTCGTGTTTCAAATTTTGTCAGTAGATTCTACATTCAAAATTGAACCAAAAAGTCCTAATTAACTATCGTTCGAATCTCAGCAGTTTCAGAGTTATTCATTTTTTTATAATTTTTTAAGATTTCACGACCTTGCTTCGAATAAACAATGATAACTCTAAAACGCAAAGGTTTCAGGACAAATCCGTTGATACCATTGAAAACTAAGTTAAATTTCCAATGAGATGTGTTCAATACTAAACTTGTAAACATTCGTGAAATAAGTGTTTTAGTAGCGAGAACATTGAAATTTTTTTTTCAAAGTTGAAAAACTTACTATGGTGATTCTAAACTACTATTTACAAACCTAGAGACCAGTAAATTTCAGAAAACGTACTCCATTTAATATCCTTTTGAGTGGTGCAATTGCTTTTTTAATTATTTTTTGAAAGATGAAGAAATTGATGAAGGAAAGGAAAAAACCGTGGTTGAAGGATTGGTAAGATTTTTTCCTTTCCTTCATCAATTTCTTCATCTTGGAAAAGTAATTAAAACAGCTATTGCACCACTAAAAATGGTACTCCATTTAATATCCTTTTTAATGGTGCAATTGCTTTTTTAATTATTTTTTCCAAGATGAAAAAATTGATGAAGGAAAGGAAAAATCTTACCAATCCTTCAACCACGGTTTTTTTCCTTTCCTTAATAAATTTCCTCATCTTGGAAAAAAGTAATTAAAAAAGCAATTGCACCACTAAAAATAGTACTCCATTTAATATCCTTTTTAATGGTGCAATTGCTATTTTAATTATTTTTTGAAAGATGAAGAAATTGATGAAGGAAAGGAAAAAATCATACCAATCCTTCAACCACGGTATTTTTTCCTTTCCTTCATCAATTTCTTCATCTTGGAAAAAAGTAATTAAAAAAGCAATAGCACCACTGAAAATGGTATTGAATGGAGTACGTTTGCTGAAATTTACTGGTCTCTAGGTTTGGAAATAGTAGTTTAGAATCACCACAGTAAGTTTTTCAACTTTGAAAAAAAAAAATTATTTTACAAAGTTCTGGCTACTAAAACGCATATTTCACCAACGTTTACAAGTTTAATATTGATCGCATTTTATTGGAAATTTGAGGAAGTTTTCAATGGTATCAACGGATTTGTTCAAAACCTTTTAGTTTTGGAGTTATCATTGTTTATTGGAAGCAAGGTCATCATGAAACACAAAATGAAAAACACAATCATGAAAAATGGAATAACTCCGAAACTGTTGACATTCAGACCATAGACTATTAGGATTTTTTGGTTCTATTTTAAATGTCGAATCTACTAGCAAAGTAAGACGAACACACTGTATAGCCGTCAAAATATGTGTTTTGTACGAGTGAGTGTATTTATTAGAGTGAAAGGGGGAGGGGATAGGCTGATGGTGGAATAGCATCCCCATTGCCCCTTGAGCTGTCTACGTGACTTGTGTCGATGGGGTAATATTTATAAAAGAACCCCATTGACCCCAATTAAATTAGGTTGTTATTGTATGCAGGTCGATGGAGGAATATTGAGTATAATTGAGCAATTTCTATAGGTGTGAATGTATTTATTCGTGTGAATGCATATTGAATGTGTGTTACAATATTTTGCATGTGCTCAGGGCTGAAATGAGAAAAAAACTATCACACATCAATGAAAAAGACAATAACATCCGTATAAATAAAACAACATAATTAAACACCCTGTCGTAATTATAACGACTAGGAATTATACAAATAATATAAAAAAGCATTATAACTACGTACATAGTACATTTTTTAGCTTTTTTAACTAAATGAAATTATTATGCTTTAAGTAACTGACGTTTTTATGAGGAAACAGAAGTATTAAATATATCAACAGTATTGCATATGTTATTACATTCTATCATCAGTGGAAAATTTGTTCCTTTATATTCAATAAAAAAATATTTTCTGATTTATGAGGCGGCAAGGCATATAAAGTTGGAGTTTATCAAGGACTTCTGGGGAATCTATACAATTATTAATTAATTTGAAAAGAAATATAATCTCAAAATATGTTTTTCAGTAGTTATGATTAGAAATATTGAAGTAAGATTCAATGGGAGCATGTCAAGATTTATCATTGTGACAGTTTAATTTGAAAATAATTTATGAAGGAATTTATCTTGAACAGTTTGGAGAAGAATCCATTATGTTTTAGTGGTCTAATTGGCCAAATTACTTCTTTCGATTAATTATTATTTTTATGTACGGTCTCGATTGAGATGAAAAAGTTAGCGTCACATGTGGGATTCGAACCCACGATCTTCGGCTCGGGGAGCTGTTAGTGAAGTCATACTTCTTTTTCTTATTAAATCCATTATGTTTTAGTAGTGTAATTGACCAAATTACATCTTTCAATTAATTATTCAACCGAGATCTTACATAAAAAGAATAATTAATGTAAATAATTTTAAAGGTAGGTTTCGTCAATTTTCCATAGCAAGGCCTAATATAATTCCTCATTTCATTAGCAGGATTTTTACAAGCATAATTGGATAGATTTCAAAATGTAAAAAAAAGGGTGCTAACATATTCTAATCAGTCACCTAACACACTGACCTTAAAACTACTTATTAAAATTGTAATGTTAATGAAATCAGACAACGATCGAGCTTCAGAGAGTCAACCACCCAGGAGAAAAATGACAGAATCCATCCGAATGTCAACTTTTATGATGCAATTTTAAATCATTATAATTTCAGTCATGCAGAATCTGTTCCTTGGCGCGCCTTATTCAAATCAAGTCTCAGAGAGCGACTATTGTCTGTTGATAATATTTAAATGCCTGTTTACTTCCTTGTATCAATAATTACATAACAATAATATCGAATGTTATCTTTAATAAGTCTTGTTATCAAGAAGTAAACAGCTCGGAAACGACAGTGTTTTCAATTTTGTCGTTATTTTATGAAGTTTTTTTCTTTTTTAAGACTGGCTCTATTGTGTCCCTTCTAATATCAGGGCGAACTACGAAGCCGTTTATGCTTAACTGCTCTTTTGAATATTCAAACCAAGCCTAAATGGGCAGGCAGTAAAAACGTTTGGAAGGGTCAATAAAAGCAATGCTTGGAAACTGGCTTAAAAAAAAAAAACATACCTAAAAGTACGGACTCCATTATTTCATAAATAAATAGATGTTTACAAGCTTTATTTACATGTTATTTAATTTGAAATAATTTTTGAAAGGAACATTTTGGTGGTTTGATGTGTTCAGTTTTGAAAACAGTGTCTTAATTTTATTATTTTTAGAAAAAGTTAATTTTTTTTTCTTCCAAATAAGATGTTAATCTCTATTTACTTAGTTCAAATAGGTCAAATAAATAATTAAGTAAAAAACCCGGTGAAGGCAAAGTGTCGCATATAGAAAAATATATAAATATTTATGTACAAGCAAAAATAAATCCATTTCTGTCAGACAATCTTCATGGTATCCTGAACCATCAAAGGGGTTGTTGAGCAGATATGAAAAAAAATTTTCTGTTTATAGAATAGTTCAAATGAGATGATTAACAAAAAATGGGTCAATTATCAATTTTGCTTGTGGATGCAATAAAAATCATGATTTTCTTACAAAGGATTAAAAAAAAAAAAAAATCTCCACACAATAAGTGTCAACAGTGCAATAAATTCAATACCTGCACTACAATACTGTTTGTGTCCCCTCATTTAAAATGACAATTTTAATATTGTTCAGATATACATTTATACAGAGTGGAAGTATCACACATACATTAAATTTGACAGGATATTTCTGAACCTGCGCGTAAATAAAACATCTTTCCAAGAAGGAAAGAGAATTTCTAACATCTCAAAGAAAACCAAATTTAATAAATTGCAGGCGTTTGGAGCAACAATGAACTTTAACGTTATTTGTTTACTTTAAACAGATTTCTGACTATTGATTTATAAAAACTCAAATTTGCACGTGCAAATATGTACACACGTGTACTGAGTTGAGCCTATGATTTTTCACAGTACAATGACGATTCTAGCTCTTTTAATTTACAAATTACAGGGCAAGCCATTCATCATCACAAACCTAGAGCGAATGTGCATACGTGTGCAGATTTGGGCTTAAATAAATCAGTAATCAGGAATGTTTATTTTTGTGAAATATATTTTAATCGAAACGTCCGATTATTCAATAAATAAAACCCGATTCAATTTTTTTTTCAGATCTCGGAGCAGAAGTTCAACACGAAAGTTTAAAAGAAGAGCAGTTCTTAAAAATGGTGATTGTAACGTAACAAAGATTCACATTTCTAAAAGAAGAAGAAAATATCTCCAGGTAATTTTTTACTTTCATTTTGAGATATTAAATTTTTGTTTTTATCGTTTTTCTTTCTGTTAAACGTTGTGGTGAAGTCTGCAAGCTGTATCATCTCTGATCGTCCTGTCACAAATTTTATCTGGTCATTTTAGAACAGTTTTGTACATTAGAACGAATGGAGATGATAAAAGCCTACACCTAACAGTCAAAACCAGTGAGAATAAGTGGACAAGGATGATAAAGAGTGATCAAGCAACAAATTCTTCAATTACAATGATTTTCTTGAATTGAATTCTTCTTTAAAAGGTTAATATTTTTTGTGGAAATTACAGGATATATTTACAACGTTAGTGGATGTAAAATGGAGATGGACTCTTTTAGTTTTTGCGTTGAGCTTCACTCTATCTTGGCTTGTTTTTGCATTGATTTGGTGGTTGATAGCCTATACTCATGGCGATTTGGACCCGGAAAACTTGAAAGAAGACTCTAATTGGTCACCATGTGTCGTCAACATCAATAGTTTTGCGTCCTGCTTCTTGTTCAGTATTGAAACTCAGCATACAATTGGCTACGGTTCTCGATCGACAACCGAACAGTGTCCAGAAGCGATTTTTGTCATGTGCCTTCAGAGCATTACCGGTGTATTTATACAGGTATACAACGGTTCAGTACAAATCAGGATTTTTTTTTTATAACAAAGTTTCATTTTAGGCTTTCATGGTTGGAATTGTGTTTGCAAAAATGGCCCGACCCAAGCAGAGGACGCAGACGCTCATGTTCAGCAGGAATGCCGTGGTGTGCATGAGAGATGGTATTCTCTGTATTATGTTCAGGGTTGGAGACATGAGAGAAAAATCACATCTGATCGCTTCTTCAATCAGAGCTCAGTTAATCAAACCGTACACAACAAAGGAAGGAGAGGTTTTATCACCGTTTTTGTTCGATCTGAAGGTGAATATGGTTATATCTTAGTTACTACTACTAATTACTAATTTGGTTTATTATAAAGAGTAAAAATAATTATTTTAGTTTTGATGTGTTAAAGTTTATCCTGATTTAGACTCGTGAACATGGGCCATTATTAAAAAATGTCATACGAATGTTTTCATACAAAGATTTTGTTTATAACTAAGAGGTTATAAACAGGATGCAGACAAGAAATATATGCCTTGCTTATTTCTCTAAATTCCACAGTTTCAAAGATTCTAAACTTTTTAAAAATATATCCGGCCCGGAGGACCAAATGTTACTTCACTTGATTTCGGAAGTAAATAATAAAAAATATAGAGCAAAAATAATAAATATAAAATATAAAACAATAACTGGGAAGAATCATACTTTCTAGGAGTGACAATATTAAAAAAAATTACCTTGTTTGCAATCATTCGATTTGTCACCAATTCTCCACTCATTTCTAACCAGGGGAGGCATTGATTCTTATAACCAGAGGATTTCTGTATGTTTTATTGTTTAGGTTTCCCTTTAGAAGAATCATTAATATTTTGTCATTAGCAATGTACAACTTGACTTTCTTAGTCCATGTTACCACTATTTCGACTGCTTTATCTCCTTTCCTCTCAATTATATAAGAGACATCTTTTTTTAATGTTTGCAATAGGCAATCTACCAAGCCTTTTAACCTTGGATAAGCAAGGTTATTTAGCGATTCTTAGAGAGAGCGTCTAAATTCCTGTGATACGAAAGATCTAAATCTCCCAGTCAACGAATTGCAAATTAGTGAATTTTAATCATCTAGACAAATTGGTTGGAGTTTGACATATTTTGACACAAACGAAAAATAGACTGGTTTGTAATTTTGGTTGCAGGTAATGATCTGTAAAAGTTAACTAACCAATGAACCTGTGTAACTCTTCAATGGTGTTTTTTTTTCTATCTCAACTCTTTCTGGCAAAAGATAATCACCAGATCAATTGACTCAATAACCTAAGAATGAATTTCTGATACTCCAAAGGTACATTTTGATATATTGATGTTAAGGAAGGAAGCACACACACTCTGCAACATACCGCCCACCATTTTTACCCCAAAAAATTATAACAAAAAAAAAATTACAATTAATTAAGGTTTTTAGTTGAGATAAAAACGTCAATGGTACAAGCGGGATTCGAACCCACGATCTTCGGCTTGATGCGCCGTTGCTCTACCACTTGAGCTATCGTGACCCCGATCCACTCGGACACCAACTTCCCACCTTTTGAATTTTGCGTATCAAACCGAAGATCATGAGTTTGAATCCCGCTCGTGCCATTGACTTTTTTATCTCAACTAAAAACCTTAATTAATTGTAATTAGTAATTAATTGTAATTAATTGTAATTAATTGGTCAAGTGGACCACGAAATTAGTGAATTTAATGATTAAAAATTAAGTATACTTCACTAAAGCTCTCCGTGGCCATTTCATTTGTCGCCGAGAATCAAATAGATTACACAACATTTGAAAAATGGCAAAAAGGAGGGAAAATTCATGGGGTGGGGTTGAGATGGGAAGTTGGTGTCTGAGTGGATCGAAGTCACGATAGCTCAAGTGGTAGAGCAGCGGCGTATCAAGCCGAAGATCGTGGGTTCGAATCCCGCTCATACCATTGACTTTTTTATCTCAACTAAAAACCTTAATTAATTGTAATATATTAATTGGTCAAGCGGACCATGAAATTAGGGAATTAAAAAAATACAAGAACTATTTACACATGTATCTTAAATAATAAATTAGAAGGGGGAAATGCTAATAAAGACTGAACATGCTTTTAAAGCTCCTACCTTTCCTGGATGGTTGCCATCCTTGTGAAACCAACAGGGCCTTGATAAACTTTTACTATTTGCTCTTGATATGTTGAATCACAATGTAGTGAGAATTTAAGGTAGACAAGTTGGTGGATTTATGAAGAATCATTGGGTGTTTCATATGAGCCAGTTTAGGTGGATGACTTATTCACTTTTGGAATTCTGTTTGAATTGATTCTCTTGAAGTGAGAAAGAAACCGGTGATTTAGGAATTTTACCTTTTTTCCCAGTATAAGAAATTGTTGTGTTAGTTAAATATAATAAGCAATAACTGAAGTTTAGATGATGTAAAGGGAGACAAAATAAAAGGTTAGTTTTTAACCTTAAACTTTAAAACAGTTACAAACGGAAGTACTTAAGCCATGATGAATTATTAATGAGTTAAAGTAACTTTTAAACATTTTTAATTAAAATTCCATGCGTTATGCTGCGATTCAAACCAAGTACTGCTAGTGTGGCAAATAAGATTCAGACACTCTAACCACTTGGCCACTGTGGTTCCTAATGTTCAGTACTCAAATTACGGAGTCAGTTCTACAGATTTCATCATTAAAATAAACGAATTAAAGATGATAAGTGATAAAAATATTTTATTAAGGAGGAATCAAGTGGATTAAGGCAAAGATCACTTTTTTTTATACCACCCAATTCAGGAGTATGTTAGGTACAGAATAAGAAAAGGATTATAAAGCCTAAAATCTGTTTGTACACAAAAGCAATTGGTAATAAAACAGGGGATGCTACATGAATAAATACATTTCTGTTAACTGGGGGAAAAAATTCATTGCTTAAGGATCAGCCTTAAGCAGAAGCAGTACCACTAGTTATTTGGCAATTGTTTCTAAAAAAAAATTTAATCTATGTTAAACAATTTGTAGGTGAAAGCTGACAATTATGAGTCTGACATCTTTCTGATCTGGCCCATGACAATCGTTCATGAGATCGACAGCTCCAGCCCATTGTACGATATCAGCGCCGCAGACATGATAAACGAACGGTTCGAGATCATTGTAATACTCGAAGGGACGACTGAAAGCACTGGACAGACCACGCAAGCCAGGACGTCTTACGTCGCCTCCGAGATCCTCTGGGGCCATCGTTTCCAGCCTCCTGTCTCCTTCAACAGGCAGAAAGGAACTTACCAGGTCAACTTCTCACTATTCCACAACACTTACGCAGTCGACACGCCTCTTTGCAGCGCTCGCGATCTCGATATCTTCCTCGAACCTTCTTGATGCATCGGTCTGGTAATCTTGTAAATCATCATTACATATGTCCATTATTTGAGATGGTCTAATTTTTACAATAAGTAGTAAGCTTTATAGTAGTTTTATCGTCGCCTTTAACTTTTTAGTTTTTTTTTTTTAAATATCCTGTCCTCCTGAAATGCCTTAATTTGATAATAGGCACACAAATCAATCATTTTAATTCAATTTTGAAGGCAGGTGACAAAATTCAACTTAAATATTTAAACAAACAGAATATAAAGCTGAAAAATGTAGGCAATAATTGATAAATTGCCAAAGAAAAATATAATTTGTTGGTAATATCTTATATATTTTTCACAAATTAAAACAAAAAAAATTATAAAGAAAAAATCAAATAAACTTAAATAACTCAAATAAACTTAAATCCTTAACAATTTTAATGAAGATTTGTGAAATGGGAAAATGCATAAATTATAATTTATTTAAATACAGCATGGCAAGTTGTTTAAACTGTTAAGGATATATTCTCATTTTTGATGTTATATCGCCATTGATGCCCAGAAATTCTCTAAATTTTTTTATTTTGATATAACCAGCTCTAAATATTGTACTAATTGGATTTTAAAGTATAACGATAGCAATTTTTACACAGGCCTTGAGTACATCTCAATAATGGACAAGTGACTCGTGTGATGCCACACATTGTTTTACATCACAACAATAAAGAACAAATTTTTTAAATAAAATTAAATAAAAGGTCCAAGGAAAGAAATGAACCTTCAGGGTTTCTCCGTTCATTGGAATAATTGTGATAATACATAATAAATTAATTTACGTTTTCTCACTACTTGTAAGTTTACATTGTACAGAAAAATGTGTTGGTTTTTATAGTCAGTAATATTGAAAAAAAAAAAATCAAATAAAAAAGTGTATTTTAATATTTTGATAAAAAAAGTGTAATAAAGACATTCGTCTTTTTTTTTTTTTTTAATTGTAATTTTATGAGCATGAAAAAATTGTAATATCTTTGTAAATGGTTTGTATGAGATGTTTATTATGATAACCAACTCTTTTTTCCTTTTCTTTCTTTTTAAATAAAAAGAGGGCGATAATCATGTTCCTCAATTAAACATGTGGAAAAAGTCATATGTAATTAATATGTGATTGTTTTTATGATTATAATAAAAACATGATTTAAAACAAAATGTATAGACTGAAAAAAAAATAAAATAAACAAGTCTTTTTTACATATAACCTTTTATTATCATGTATAAACTGCATTTGATACCTGTTTACATCGCTTCCTTATGTAATAAAAGTGCGACAAACTAACACACAATTTATTATGTCCATTAAAATGTTTGTATTAATGTATTTAGAATTTTATTTGTCACTTTTATTTACAATTTTTAAACCCGATTCACTTATTTTAAAAAAATTGTTTTTTAAAGGTAATTTTAATTAATTTATCCACACATTCATTTCTAACATGTATAAAATAATCATGAAGTCTTGGGTAATTTCATGATTTAATTCTTTAACAATGGCAATTAAAGCTTTAAAAATGTACTATTTGATAAAATATTTTTTTTTTAGGAAACTTTTATTTGAAATTATATTCATCCTACATTACTTGCAGATACACAAAATTAGAAGGAATGTGAAATACAAATTTTATCTCAACAAAAAAAATCATAATTTTTAGATATCTAGCGAGTAAAAAATATTGCAATTAAACCGAATACCCTGTTTACGACAATAAATTTATTTGACTACAAGTATAACTAATATACTTAAAATGACAATATAAAAAATCAAAACGGTCCAAATTAATGAAAAATGAAGGCCAATTAACTATTTGTTTTTGTGGCTTATTTGATAAATCACATAATCAACAAGGACAAAAAATTACAAAGTGAATATTTTTTTTTTCTTTTGAGGACTTATCATTTGTAATTATTTAAATTGTTGCACTATACAATTATAAATTTTTTATTGATCACTATTAATTAATTGTAACGACACCGTTTTGATGATTCCATTCTGCATGATTCCTCTTCAGGTGTATATGTGCAATAATTTAAATACTTCTTGTACATGAATGAAAGTTTTTTTTTTACGACTTCTAGTTTAAAATATAGATTTCAAAAAGTTAAATACTTTAGTTTATTTTATTGTCAGCAGCAAGTGCTGGCTTGAGTATCTGTTTGAATAAAACAAGTATATGAAAATATCGAGTATTCAAGGGAGTACAGTGAAAAAAAAATTCTAGTGTTTTGGGCTTCATCGAATAATGAAAAAGTACAAAATTTGGCACAATTCTTGTCAAAATGAATGTATAATTAAAAATTTAAAAAAATAATAGCATAAGAATAAATGAAACATACTAAATTAAATAAAAAAGGGAAAATTAATAGAAAATTAACCATCCTTGATATTCAATTGTAGGGTAATAAAAAAAAAACTGGAATTAAAGGTGGAAGAATGACTGGAATTCCAGAGGTTGTAAGAACGGATAAGGAAGGAGCGATTAAAAGTGATTTGTGAAAGGGGTAGAGATCAGAAACAGGAACGAGGTGGCAAGGAAATGTTAACAGTTTATAAATGTAGGAAGGGGCATGGGCAGAAATTGTTTGTTAGAAGGAGCTAAGGAAGTTTAGCCTGCGATAGGAAGAGTACAGCCATTAGACGAGTCTCTTTGTGGAGCTTCGTGTGAACCGATGAAAGCAGTTTTTATTCTCTTCAGTCTTTTAACAAGCTATCTGGTGAGTCCTCTTAGGACAAACAGCCATAATTGAAATGGGGCAGCACAAGGGAGAGTTGGTTTCCATGATGGAATTGCCGAAGGGTGGAGAAGGAACAATGGGATATTTGGGAAATTTGGGGTTTCCAAGGAAAGGTTTGATCAACGAAGATCTCTAGGTTTTTGACAGATGTTTGATAATTAGTTGGTTGTTAATGCAGAGCGGAGGAATAGGAGCTAAAGTTTGAGGAATTGAATGGGATACTATAGCCTGAGACATTGATATTGATAGAGTCCATTTTTGATGGTCCAGGAGGCTCTTGGATTAGTGTGATAGAGATTTGAAGGTTAGGAGGTGAAAAAAAGAGATAGATTTGGAAGTCATCATCCCACCAATACCAAGAAGAAATCTCACATTTTTCAAGTATAAATCAGCAATGGAGTAAATATTGGAAATAATTATTTCTGAAAGAAAATTAAAAAGTAAAGTTTCCTATCAAACAATTAATTAAGGTTTTTAGTTGAGATAAAAAAGTCAATGGCACGAGCGGGATTCGAACCCACGATCTTCGGCTTGATACGCCGTTGCTCTACCACTTGAGCTATCGTGACCTCGATCCACTCGGAGACCAACTTCCCATTTCAACCGCACCTTCTGAATTTGAAGTTGAGATGGGAAGTTGGTCTCCGAGTGGATCGAGCTCACGATAACTTAAGTGGTAGAGCAGCGGTGTATCAAGCCGAAGATCGTGGGTTCGAATCCCGCTCGTGTCATTGACTTTTTTATCTCAACTAAAAACCTTAATTAATTGTAATATATTAATTGGTCAAGCGGACCACGAAATTAGTGAATTTCCTATCAAATGTTCACACCATTTGACCATCAGAAATGTTCTACACTAGCATAACCTTTACATAAACATTATTTAAATACGCATCACTATCTTTATTAATCTACTAAACACGTCTTTCATTATTTTTTTATATGTTTATTAAATCAAATACTGTTTTATTATATCAATTTGAAATGCATATATCACATTGATCTGATGTAAAATATATATTTATGGCAAGAATAACCTATATGTCTTTATTGTTTAATACTACTAACGTGAGCAGGCAGTTTTAACAAATAGTCCTATCAAAAAATTATTTATAATAAAATTTCTGTCTATCAACCTAATTTGATTTTGATCTAAAGCAGTTCCTAGTTCACTATTCAGGTAACAACATTCCTATTCTATTATACTTAGTGTAATTTCTCCTTATTACTTTTTTGTAAACTGTTCCAACCTAGTATGATTTTCAGCTTTCTAAGAAATCATTTCAACTTACAAATGGAATATTTAACTTTTTTCTTTACCATTATAAATTTAAATTGTCCAATATTATCAATAAAATGAGGTATTATCAATCGTCACACCGACAGTACACAATTTGTTGAAGAAATTGCCAATCAGTTCAAAAGACAAGAATAAAAAAAGAAAAAAAAACTATGCTGGTTTGTCAACGTAAGTTTTGTAACAAACTTGGAATAAAATTGTTACCTGGACTTTGGGTTGATAGTTAACCAAGACAGAAATTGTTTTAGATTCATTTTATCGTAAATGAAATCACAAAATTGTTTATTTTTGTGAAATCAAATCCTTGCCAATGGTCACAAAACAAGATTAAATAATTAGGGAAACGTATGTGGTCCCATGTGTCAAAAAATCTCAATGCTTGTTTAAGTGAATCAAAGACAAAATGTTTAACGTGAAGAATTGACTGGAACAGATTGAGCAAAATCACTATTGGTCCAACTGATCTGCCAGCCTGTATAATATGCAGCAGTTGACTGTGTAGTGTCGATGTGGCGGAGGCATGTGCTAGACAGGCGTCGTCCTTCGCAACGAGTCGAAATCACTTCTGGACCTTTGCTCCGATGGGATCCTGAGCGGCGGGACTTCATCCAAATCGAACGTGACGAATTCGGGGTGCGGGGAAAAATCGCCGATATCTTCGCAAGAATTTATATCGGCGGTTGTCGATACGGTGTGATTTGTCAAATCTCGAGGCAGGTCCCAAGGTCTAGGAGGCATCTCGGCGTCAAGCTCGGAAGGATGGTATGCATCATCTGGGTATGCGTAATATGTCGATGAAACATTGCTCACCTTCTGGAAAAGGAAAGAGAAGATTTACACATTGACAATTTATATAATTATGGAAAAGCACAACCCGACTAAAGGATTAACTATGAAGCAATAAAATAAAACCTGATTATGAGGTACCAGACATACACCCACACAGGACCCACCAACCTGGAACAATTTTAGAACTAATTATATTTATGATTCCAGGAACAAGGTTTGCCTAGAAATTATGTTGATTGATTTATATAAGCTCAATTCTGCATATATACAGAATATGCATATGTGCAGATATATACAGAATTGAGGTTATGAATTCACTCAGACCTCTGTGTTATACGTCCCGCCTCTGAAGTTTGGCTCCAGGGGCTTTCAACAGCTTGCTCATTTCAGCCCTTTATGCATGCAATTTGTAAATCTAAACCCACTGACACTTTTCACTCTTAAGGGCAGACCATCAGTTAGGTTATAGTACTCAATATTCCTCCTTAAACCTCTACATCTAATTGAGGGCCAGTAAGGTACTCGATATTTCGCTATCAGCCCTCTCATTCTACATTCACACTAATAAATACTTTCACTCTAAATATATGCAAAAAATAAACACGAGATGAGGTATCTATCAAGTCCTGTTTTCTCTGAAACTGAGAACTCAAATACTCTACTTTTACCTAATTTTTTCTAAGTTTTTCCCCTTAAATATGACGTTTCAGAAGAAAATTATAAAACGGTTTCTAATTTACTTAGAAGCATAGTTTAATTTTCAATGTAGGTGCAGTTCACCTGGTAGACATTGAATACGTAACTAAAAGAATCTGATGATGCAAGGCACGACTGGTGTAGTACTGTCATGATGGTGTAATAATAATAAAACAATTAAGAAGTTAATTTATTGTCTTTTTTTTTTAATTTTACCCTTTCCACCACCCCACCGTACCTGAGGAAGACCCCATACCGGCAGACAAACGCTTTAGCTTAATCGAATTTGTATATCTAAGGGATTTCAAATAAATGGGATAAAAATTAAAAAAAACAAAAAAAAAAAACGATCTTTCCTGCAGGCAAGACCGCTGGTCGGTTTTTGAAGGGACCATATTTTCATTTTAGAACCTAAAACAAAAAAGGTCTTCCCTTGCTGGTTTCCCCTTGCACTTTACTTTTCCTTGGTTTTATTTTCTATCTATTTATATTATCTAAAATTTTCTTACTAAGAAGAGGAAAACAGCCTAAACCTAAACCTATGTTTAATTATGCAATAAATAAATAAATAACGGTAATAAAACTCTAACAATAATAACAATATTTAGGACTTAATAATTAGAATAAATAGGGACTTGTTCATTTAAGCGTATTTGAGGCAAAGTCTTTTAGTGGTCTAAAAGATTTGATATCACCGATTAGCTTTTGGAGATTAGGCGGCCATTCTGCTGAGGTGATGGTCTTTCGCAAATGTTCTCTTTCTGCCTTGAATTTATTGTCTATACTATTTTAGTCGTCCGGGTCTGAGGGGTCACAACATTCCACCATACTATCACACGATACATCCGCGCTTCAAAATACATTTAAAAGAAAGGACATATAACTATATAGTTACGAGCAAACTTGTTTCCTCAAAAAATGTAAAAATGTTCAATTTTAGACACATGGAGCATCCTTTCTCTATTTGCTGGTGTTAAGGCGCATTTTTTCTTTTATATTTTATCGTAAATTAGCGAAAGCCCTTCCCCCTAACATAATTTGGTCCTCCGGGCCGGATCTCAATTAATTTCCTATTAATTATATCTTCCATCATTTGTTTTTTTGTTGTATTATATTTGTGTAAACCCACCTGCAATTTATGGCTCCTAAGGTTCAAACTATGGAAAAAATGGATCAAAAACTAGATAATCTGAAAGATGAGCTGCGGGATTTAGCTGACGACATTCTGGTTACCAATCCCTTGGGCTTGGAGGCTCAAGGTGATTCCACAAAAACACCCTTATTTATTGCCAGGTTGTCTCGATTGGATGCGACCCATGACAAATTTATACTGGTTTTCAATGAAATTCATCATTCAAAATCTTTGAATATTCCCCTTTTGGATTCCGAACAGCTTAAAATGGAATTTAAATTGGCATTCTATGAGGTATTGTCCCTGGGAGATCCTTCTCGTTCTTCTCCCTCTACAACAGATCCGGATAGAAGCTTTCAGAACAGAACTGTCAATGATATTTCTAACAATCTTCGTCTCCCGACCATCTGAATGGCCGTCCTTTCGAGATACCTTTGTAAACCTCATCCATGATAATGAAAACTTGAATGATATTCAGAGATTTCACTATTTGAAGGCTTCTCTTAAAGGTTCTTCTGCTCAAACCATAGCTGCCATAAAAATATCTGCTCAAGGCTGTACTTGTACATGGGAAAATGTTACGAAAATATATAATAGTACAAGAATACAGGCAACCTTCCATATTATGAATATTTTCAACTTTCACCCCCTATAGAAAATGTCCCTTTCATCTCTCGAATCATTCTCCTCACAGGTGCTGAAGAGTGCTAAATCCTTCTTCCAATTGAAGTCGGCCGACCCGGAGGGTTCATCTTATGTACATATGTCCTAGGATTATTGGATCCCAGGACTTGAGAACGTTTTGAATCGGAATTTGGATCAAAATCACGTCTCCCAACATGGAATGATTTTACCGATTTCATCAGGCTATTCATACCAGCAGGCCACATTCCGAAACAAGGAAAAGCAGTACAAAGGGAATTATGTTGGTGGGAAGGGCTTTACGATAAAATATAAAAGAAAAAATGCGCCTTAACAGCTGGGCAAAACAGTAAGTGTCTGTATGACCACCTCACATGATCTATTCTTAGACATGAAGGTACTCGATATTTCACTGTCAGCACTCTCATTCTACATTCACACTAATAAATACTTTCACTCTAAGTATATGCAAAAAATAAACATGAGATGCGGTATCCATCAAGTCCTGTTTTCTCTAAAACTGAGAACTCAAATACTTTACTTTTACCTACTTTTTTCCATGTTTTCCCCCTTTGAATATGACAAGAATTCAGAATCTCCATGTGCTACAAATCAACCGTGCTCTTGATTAATGAGAGCTTCTCTGCCAAACCAGTCCACCGATGCTTCTATTCCCTTTTAATAACAATTTTACCATCGGAGAGGCTGCACCACGGTGGTAGGTCCTGGCTGCTTTTTCTGCTTTTCTGCCACTGACTATATAGAGCCAAGGTGTGACACCCTTCAATTAATTATGAGGGAAACATCAAGCAACCTTTTGCACATGCCAGACACAAACAGGCTTTGGCCCAAAGTAAGTGTTCGTATGACTGCCTTGAATGGCCTACACTTAGTTGGGTGAGTATAATTTTCCATTCTGAGTGCCAACTCAATTCACTAATGCTTCATTTTAATCATGAAAAATGTTGGAGGGCCACATAGCATTGGTTAGGAACAACTTTTAGCTTCTTTTTCTATTTTTAGTTACCCTCATGAGCTATGTGCAAGATAAACACCATTTTGTAAAGACGCTCTAGTGAAGAGATCTCTTCAACAAAAGCACAGTGAGAGGGTGTATGGAAGACCTGTCGCGGACGTCAAGGAGTCAATGCAGACAAAATAAGCAATGCCAATTTCAACTCGAATCACCCCAAGCTCATGCCAAATCACATACAATCACCAAATGGATGCACCCTCGCAACTCTTAGATTAGATAAATATCAGTTTACCTTGATCTAAGATTCAAGAACTTTGCTTAGTATAGGTACGGTGGTAGACAACTTTGTTAACTCGGTGAGATTGTCCCAAATGAGTATGGCGTGAAGGACCAAGGACATTGTTAGGTACGCTGGCTAGAGTACCACTGTCATCCTTGCCATCCCTAAGGCTTCCTAAGCGGTTGCAACTGAGTTGGAAATCACTGATGTACTGTCATCTAATAATCTCACTGGTCTGAATTACACATTCACTACTTTTTTTGGCTTGATCAGACATATTATTGAGAGATTTCAAAGAACGGAAGTGAACACCAAGTGGCATCATCTGACTGTTGAAACAACTCACTCATGACACCATCCCGGTGACATCCAGAGTGATCAAGTTAAATTTGGCAGTCAAACCTTTTGCAAAACAATAAAAAGCAAGATAATTCTATCACCTATTTTTTTTTTTTTTTAATCGCCTTACGAAATTTCCATATCAGTCAGGTTATAGCTCACATGTGATCTTTGCAAGAGAGAAGGATTGCATGAAAAACAGGGCCAGGGGCAATCTGAATTTTAGTAGGTGAACATGGAGTCAATAACAGACTCTAAGAGTCCTTACAGTACACGGTTAGATTGTTGGGTGGTATCTGGATACAGAGATTATTGGACTGGAATAAAACGTCAGTAGCCAGTTTTAACTTTTGAATATACAACATGTTTAGAACTGTTGATGTTATTGTTGGTGACGTAGAACAAAGCTGAGTAAGTTTTATTGTACTTAAGATTTTTGGATGGATTGGGGTTAGATTTTGTGACAATTGGATTGACATTCTTGTACACTGTATGTAAGTCTAAATTGGAATGATGAGAGCGATAATTTTTTGTTTGGAGATTTGAGTGTTGATCTTTTGTATCAGATGTTTCAGTTTTCATTTTGATCGAGCATGTGGGTTACATTGGCGTTTTTTGTCAGGCGGTAGCTCCAAAATCATACACTATTGTCTGAATGTATTGGGGTGATAGCAGACAAGCAAGAATTTTCCAGTTAGAGTAAAAATCATAATTGGGATTTTGGTTGGTTTACCATAGCCACAGAACTAACAATGCACCTAGAGGAACATGGTAAGATAAGTCATCCAATGCTGACTCTGTGAGGGAATAGTGGACAAGGGGACTCGTTGATTAAAGTGATGTGGTGTGTTCTTGAGAATTTGTAGAAAGGGCTTGAGCAATAGGTTTAGGATGGATCGAGAGGTTAGTATGAAATTTTGGGAATCGGTAACAAATCAGCTCGTTGAAAAAAAAGAATGTTGAGGTCGTGGATAGTGAGGTTAGTGATGTAAAGGAGGATGGCTAAATATTACTCGATCAGTTAACATGTGTTCAATGACTTTATTGCAGACCAACAACCTCCACCAAATTTGACCTAATGTTTATATTCTAATCTTATGTTTTTATCACATACGCTATTGATAGGTCTGGCACCTGGGCATGCTTTGTAAACTTAAATGCTTCCTGCCCACTCCTTATTAGCTTACCCTAAATCAACAGCTACTTCAGATCAGCCGGAATCGAACCCATGACCGTGGGGTCGAGAGCCAAGAGTTTACTATGCTGATCACTTGGCTACCGTGGTCTCCCTACTATAACCTATCCATGGATAAATATATATATTTTTCTCAAACTCAAGAATATGACATTACACTTTAAAGTAAGGTATAAATAAAATGGAAATTACCTGACGAGGGGTCTGAGGAGGTGATTCTTCTGAGTCACCCTGTTCTAGGTACAGTCTACGTTGATGGTGTGCAGGCGAAGCACGGTCTACATGTGTAATGTGGTTGCCCATGATCGGCTGAGAGTACTGGGGATGCCTTCTGCATGGGTAGAGAATCCCTTGGAAAATAGAACAAGTTAAAAAAACATCAAAATTCCATAATAAAAGCCAATTACCAGAAGAGTAGATATGTTGGTCTGGTAGAAGAGCCGATGACGAAGACAATTTTCGATGGTGGTGGTTCATCATTGTCATCTCAAGTGTTTTTTTCCCCCAGTCCCTCTGATGCCAGTATATGTAAAGAAAGACTGCGCAAGTGCCAGCCGTTTCGATCGACATGAATCCACTTACATATAGAAGAAAACTGACAGACCATTTGAATAAACAAACGCTCCATTGTACAAATTTGTAGACAAGATGAAAATACCAACCTGTAGCCGTATTCAAATGTAAATTGTGGAGGTTGTAGCTGAGACCTGGGCCTCAATTTTCCGCCGATTTCCGCCTTGAAAATTGATATGTACATCACAAGTCCAATCAACATCAGTAAGCCTAAAAATGATGCAAAGAAAATTTCATCACTTCAAATATACCTGGTGCTAATATAAAATAAGTTGACAGGATAATGGAAAAAAAGGTGGGTAAAACATTAGAATGGATTCTTATGAAAAGGGTGAAGAAAAAAGGAAGACAATTTATCAGGTCAAGTGGTGAAGAATTTATGTTGTTAGTTATGGTTTTTTTGTGCAAATCGGCTCAGAATAAACTTATTTGACTAAGAACAAATTGCGCTTAGAAGACATATGCGATATAAATCTACCATCTCTACACATCTTCATCCATATAGAAGCTAAACAATTCGCAGGCTAATGAGAAAAGCTCAATTAAATCAATTAAAGCTTCAGGCAGACAAGGTTTTGGGTTTGCCTGTTGAAGTCATGATCAAAAATTCAGATTTGATAAAAAATTTAAAATTAAAATACCCAATACCCAACTTAATGGGAGAAACAGATTCTATTTAATGCCAAAATTTAATTTTTATCTGTCAACTTAACCTTTTTCCATCAAATTAACCATTTTTAAATTCAAGTTAAGATTTTTTCTTTTGCATTAACATTTTTTAACTTCAAATTAATCTTTTTTCTGAGCATAAATTGTTTTTTACATTTCGAATTATAATTAAAATAAAAAATAAAATTAAATTAAATATAAAAATACATGACTTCTTTTAATGTGAGATTTTTAAAGGATAAAATAATTGTGTTCTTGAAGACCATGACCAAAAAACTAAAAAACCNAATTAAAATAAAAAATAATATAAAATTAAATGCAAAAACAAATGATTCTTCTTTTAATGTGAGAATATTTTAAAATAAAATAATTGTGCTATTAGAATACCATATGAACAAAAAAAAAAAAAAAAAAACCACATGGAAATTGATTACAATTAAAATCGAAAATCCTATAAAATTAAATATAAATAAAAGATCTTTTAATTTGACAATTTTAAAACAATATACATAAAATTGATTGGAAATAATAAATGATGGAGTGAGTGTGGTGTGTAATCCTTTTTAAAAAGATAGTTCCTACGTACAGTAAGTTGTTTTGAAATGATCCGGTTGAAAACAACTTACTGTGAGTAGGAACTATTTTTTTTTAAAGGATTAAATTGATTGATTCTTGATCGGACAACTCACATGAAAATTAATTACAATTAAAATTAAATGTTATATAAAAATAAATAATTTTAAGGGTAAATGGGGTAGCCAATGGGGGTAACAAATACATTCACTTTCAATATACACAAGGGAACACAAAATTAATAAACAAATAAGATTTTTTTAAATAAAAAATAATTATTTCATAGACCAATTATTTTATGTTTAAAAACAATCTTGGATTACTATAAAAATCATTTGTTTTTATATGTAATTGAAGATCTTTTAATTTTAATTGTAAATTATTGTCATAATCGAAGAGCCAGATTAATTTGTATTTAAATGCTTCAAAGAAAGGGTTAATTTGAAGTTAAAAAGGGGTCATTTTAAATGATAAAAGGTTAATTTGAAATTAAGAAAGGTTAATTTGAAGTCAAAAAGGGTTCATTTGAAATTATAGAAGGTTAATTTGAAATCAGGAAGGTTAATTTGAACTTAAAAGAAGGGTTCATTTGAAATTATAGAAGGTTAATTTGAAATTAAGAAAGGTTAATTTGAAGTTAAAAAAAGGTTTATTTGATTAAAAGACGTTAATCTGAAATGAAGGAAGGTTAATTTGAAGTTAAAAAGGGTTCATTTGAAATTATAGAAGGTTAATTTGAAATNAAAGGAGTTTGCGGGTGGAGAAAGGTAAGAGAAGCCAGGACCGACGAAACAGGCTGAGGGAGGCAACACAATATCGGGAAATTTGGGAAATGTGAGAATCCCAGGAAAGGTTTTGGTCAAAGACTACTCCTAGGTTTTTAACCTAAGAGCAGAAGGGAATGGGATGGTTATTTAGCATGAGCGGTGGGATGCTGGGGAGGGAATTGAGGAGTTGCCCGGACCCGATAATTATGGCGGTGGATTTGGACGGATTGAGGACTAGGGAATTTTTATGCGCCCATTCGTTGATGGAGTTTAGGTCTTTTTGGATCTTGAGAATGGCCGAGGGAAGATCGGAAGGGTGGATGGATATGTATATTTGGGAGTCATCGGTGATAATTACAGGACTGGATGGAGTCGGGCAGTTCATTGATATAAATGGAAAAAAGGCTAGGAGAGATGCTAGAGCCTTGGGGCACCCCAGTTTTTAGAAAGAGGAAGGAGGAGGTAAAGGAGGTAAGGCCATTTTTGTATAAATTACCTGATATTATGAAAATAACTCCAGATACAAAAGTGTAAATCCTGCGGCTTCTATGAAAATGTCCGTAGATACAAGAGAACTCTCCGCAGAAGAGAAGAAGTGTTGCAATTATGAAGAAAAACGCTGACCTCGTAACCGCATCTGTAATAAAATTAACAAAAAAACAAAAACAAAAATTAGTCAGGTATAAGTAGAATTAAATAATTATCGGCATACTTTGGCAAAGAGATTTTTTTTAAAGAGGGTTCGCAACAGCAGAGGTTATATCAACCCTCGGGGTGCCGGTGTTTAAAAAAAAGGCCTTTTGTAAATATGTCGGGTTCGAAATCAGGGCCGCTGGATTCGAACCCGGGACTTTTACCTTACAGTGATGAGCGCCATGTCAACGCCTAAACAGTTGCGGCCACCGACGCCCCGTAAAGAGAATATTTCTGTAGTCATTAGTATTTAAAGAAAGTAAGGTAAAAAAAGTATAATTAGATCAAAGGAAGTTTTTATAATTTTATATTGGTGGTTGTAATTAAAATTACACCTTGGAAAAGAATAAAAAGGATTACCATGTTCATAAAACACAAGAAAATCATCAGTGTGATTTTTCTTCTGTTATTTCTCTCTTATTATCTGACTGAAAAGCACCGATTGTGTTTTGTGATTTTACCAACGAATCGTCGGTTAAGGAGTGTTTTTCTTCTCGGTGCTTAGAGGCCGAACTATTCTTAAATTTCTTCTTTGGAGAACGTATAATGATGGAACGTCAACTTTTGTGTGTAGTTTCTAAAGCGCTCAAAGGCTTTTGAACTCGGTCCGCTCCAATTTAGAACACTTTCATGCTCGTTTTATTCGCCCCCCCCCTTAAATGCCTCTGACAAACAAGGACGTGAAAACTTGAATTATTGTGCCGAGGAAATTTCGGCAAAACCTGCACGGTAAATTCCCTCAAAAAGGCTTAACCGTGGAAAAGGGGCCAAGTTCCAGACCCGCTCCAAATAAAATTAGCCTATCGATGTAATATCTAACACTGTGGCCAAGACCGTTCTCGTTTTAGTCCATAAACTGAGAGAACTCCAAAGAAAAGAAAAAAATTTCCAGTCCTTCCCAAAAAAGTAAATACTATCAAAGTAGTACTATCTACATTGTGGCCAATCTCACTTCACTCCTACTTTTATAAGCAACGAAGTTCTTTTATTTGAATTGGTTACCCCTTGGCAATTTTTAATATTTTCTCCTTTCGAAAACGCTTAATATTAAGTGCTCAAATGTTTACAAAATCCTAAGCTACACCAGAGTTGGGCAAAATCTAGCTAATTCAATCATGATTAAGAATTTTGATTGAAGTTTAATCATGATTGAATTAGTCATGAGTGAATTAATCATTATGTGATTTAATCATGATTAATTCAATCATGAGATATGACTAAATCGTACAATGATTAATTTACTCATGACTAATTCAATCATGATTAAACTTCAATCAAAATTCTTAATCATGATGGAAGTAGGTTGATTTTGCCCAACTCTGGCTTACCAAAATCCAACAGACTCCGGATAAAAATTTTGAGATGAGAGTCATGCTTAAGGCCAACATTCAAAAAGTGTTATAAAAAAAAAGTTCATAATTATTCTACATGTCTATTTTATTACATTCAAGACCCTAGATGGTGTTTTTTTTCCCAAATAATGTAGAAATCTCTCCTTTCAAGTGGAATAAATTTTAATTCAAAGAAATACTTTTTCCATTAATCGGTTATGTAAACATTTAATTTTCAAAGCGTAGCTTGTTCTAAGATTTTATTTTATTATTATCATAATTTTTTGGATTTTCATAACAATGTAGTTTAATTGGAAGATTGATTTTTGTTAAATAAGGTGTTGAAGGATTTTCGTTTTGATGAAATAAATTTCTGTTAGAAAATATTTTAAAAGTGATGATGTGTATTTTTCATTTTTTGAGCACGCATTTGAACATGATTTATCGAAATTTAGTCATGAGTAACTATATTGTGACTAAATTAGTCATGCGTCGTATTTAATTACTAATCATGATCAATCACATATGGTGACTAATGACTAAATTAATCACTTACTACCAATCATGACTAACGGTCTGAGTGATCAATCATTAATCATTAGACATGGCTCATTTTTGCCCAACACTGAGCTACACCCACTAGAAAAGTGACATAACTAAAAAACGAATATTTTACTGTAGAAATGGATGGAAATTTACTTTTTAGACTTATGTATTAAGTTCACGCCATTACGATTGTTGGCAATAAAAATTGACAATATCAGTCAATATCGTCTTTCGTTCATCTAAGATTAAGGCGAAAATTTTTTTTAACAATCCGGCTGTACTTTCCCTAGAAAACTACCCCTTTTTTATGTTGTGTCATATTTATTTCATATATTGGCTCTCAGTAATTTAAGTTAGTTTATTTTTTCAAGGATACTTGTGATCAACGAATGACTGTAAGGGTATTAATTTTTTTGATAGTAACAGAAAACATCGTACATTCCCAAGAAAAGTGACACAACTAAAAAAAAAAATTCAGGAGAAACAAATGAAAGTTTTCTCTTTTGACATATGTATTAATTATTCAGAAATCGTGAGATGCGGTCTGGTGTGATGTAGGTTTCAGAAAAACATTTTCTTTATCGTGCCAACGTTTCGATCTTTATTGAGATCATCTTCAGGGCTCAAAGTATTTGTCTTCTGTGTAATTGTGCCATTCTTGCGTGTCGTTGTGTTTATGTATTAAGTTCACGCCATTACGATTGTTGGCAATAAAAATTGACAATATCAATCAATATCTTCTTTCGTTCATCTAAGATTAAGGCGAAAATTTTTTTAACAATCCGGCTGTACTTTCCCTAGAAAACTACCCCTTTTTTTTGTTGTGTCATATTTATTTCATATATTGGCTCTCAGTAATTTAAGTTAGTTTATTTTCTCAAGGATACTTGTGATCAACGAATGACTGTAAGGGTATTAATTTTTTTGATAGTAACAGAAAACATATCCCAAGAAAAGTGACACAACTCCAAAAAATACAGGAGAAACAAATGGAAGTTTACTCTTTTGACTTATGTATTAATTATTCCGAAATCGTGAGATGCGGTCTGGTGTGATGTAGGTTTCAGAAAAACATTTTCTTTATCGTGCCAACGTTTCGATCTTTATTGAGATCATCTTCAGGGCTCAAAGTATTTGTCTTCTGTGTAATTGTGCCATTCTTGCGTGTCGTTGTGTTTATGTATTAAGTTCACGCCATTACGATTGTTTGCAATAAAAACTGACAAGATCAATCAATATTGTCTTTCGATTTCCAAAGATTTAAGAGAAAAAAATCCCTTTAAAAATCCAGCTGTACTTTCCCTAAAAAAACCCCTTTTTTTGTTGACTCACTTTTATTTCATATATTGGCTCTCAGTAATTTAAGTCAGTTTGTTTTCATATAACGATAATTGTGATCATCGAATGACTGCAGTGTATTAATTTATTTTTGATAGTGAGAGAAAAATATCGCACACCCAAAAGAAAAGTAATACAACTTTAAAAAAAAAAAATACAGGAGAGACAAATGGAAGTTTACTTTTTTGAATTATATATTAAATACACGCCATTACGATTGTTGCCACTAAAAACTGACAAGATCAATCAATATTGTCTTTCGATTTCCAAAGATTTAAGAGAAAAAAAACCCTTTAAAAATCCAGCTGTACTTTCCATAAAAAAAACCCCTTTTTTTTGTCGACTCACTTTTATTTCATTTATTGGCTCTCTGTAATTTAAGTCAGTTTGTTTTCTCTAACGGTAATTGTGATCATCGAATGACTGTAAGTGTATTAATTTATTTTTGATAGTAAGAGAAAAATATCGCACACCCACAAGAAAAATAAAACAACTCAAAAAAAAAAAAAAAAGGAGAGACAACTGGAAGTTTACTTTTTTGACTTATATATTAAATACACGCCATTACGATTGTTGCCAATAAAAACTGACAAGATCAATCACTATTGTCTTTCGTTTCCCCAAGATTTAACAGAAAAAAAAACCTTTAAAAATCCAGCTGTACTTTCCCTAAAAAAACCCCTTTTTTTGTTGACTCACTTTTATTTCATTTATTGGATCTCAGTATTTTAAGTCAATTTGTTTTCTATTTTCTATAACGATAATTGTGATCATCGAATGACTGTAAATGTATTAATTTATTTTTGATAGTAAGAGAAAAATATCGCACACCCACAAGAAAAGTAACACAACTCAAAAAAAAAGGAGAGACAAGTGGAAGTTTACTTTTTGACCTATATATTAAATACACGCCATTACGATTATTGCCACTAAAAACTGACAAGATCAATCAATATTGTCTTTCGTTTCCCAAAGATTTAACAGAAAAAAAACCCTTTAAAAATCCAGCTGTACTTTCACTAAAAAAACCCCTTTTTTTGTTGACTCACTATTATTTCATATATTGGCTCTCAGTAATTTAAGTCAGTTTGTTTTCTCTAACGATAATTGTGATCATCGAATGACTGTAAGTGTATTAATTTATTTTTGATAGTAAGAGAAAAATATCGCACCCACAAGAAAAGTAACACAACTCAAAAAAAAAAAAAAAATACAGGAGAGACAAATGGAAGTTTATTTTTTTGACTTATATATTAAATACACGCCATTATGATTGTTGCCAATAAAAACCGACAAGATCAATCACCATTGTCTTTCATTACTTCATGATTTAACCGAAAAAAAACCTTTTAAAATCCTGCAGTACTACCCCTAAAAACTACCCATTTTTGAGTTGTAATACTTTTTTTTGTATATACTTGTATATACTGGCTCTTAGTAATTTAGGTTAGTTTCTTTGCTCTGACGATAATAGTGGTCAATGAATGACTGTAAAGGTATAGGCGGTAGCCGAGTGGTTAGCATGAGAGACTCTCACGCCGCGGTCGTGAAAAAAAAAAAAAAAAAAAAAAAAAAAAAAAAAAAAAACAGTATTTACAATATTTTGATTTGCTGTAACATTTTTGACCTGTAACTTTGAAGCTGAGCCTTCTTGCTTCCCCGATTTGCTAATTAAATCTGAAGAGCCAGAACTATCAGCATCATAGGTCAAACTTTTCTTCTCATTACCCGATATCAAAGTGCAATGAGAAGATCTAATATCCTTAATATTTTGCCCTGAAGTGGTTGCCAAAGAGGTGGAATTTGAAAACTGACTTCATTACCATTATTGATGGCAGTTTCCTTCTTGTTTGTTTTAGTTTAGAATCAGTTTGTTCAATCAGTTTTACAAATATTTAATACATACTGGGTAGCCCCAAATCTTGGCTCAAAAATTAAGAACTTATAGGAAATTGAATGCTGAGTAAAAAAAGGTCCTATAAACCCGGGTCCGAAAAGCCTTCAAAACAGAGCTGAGGTTAAAACAATAGGAAAAAACACATTTTCTGACCTTATTTGTGAAATAATAAGTAAACCGCTAATACTACCATAAAACAACTCGAAACAACATTCATAACGCATTTATTTCAGAGTAGAATGAGACTAAAACCAGCCTGATTGATCGAGAATATAATTTTCGTGATTTTTCAAAGTTAGGAGGGGGAAAGGGTCAAAAAATTTAAAGTTTCTGACATTTTTATCAATAAAGATGCACCCCTTTTAAAAAATATCTCGGAACAAAACTATCGGTGATGGAATTGTCCGTCAAATTAAAGAAAATCAACATAGTTTGGACTTCATGTAAAAGTCACGTAAAGTACTAATTAACTATGGTCCGAATCTCAGCAGTTTCGGAGTTATTCCATTTTTCTGATTTTTTAAGATTTCACGACCTTGCTTCGTGAGAGAGAGCATTTCGAATCAAAATTAAAAAACGTTTGATAAATTTATTCAAAATTTCCTTAAGATTTTTATTTTTTATTATTATTAATTTCACTAGTTTTCGTGATAAATTCACTGGTATCTAGCCGAAGATCGTGGGTTCGAATCCCGCTCGTGACAATGACTTTTTTACCTCAACTAAAAACCTTAATTAATTGAAAAAAAATAATAATCTTTCCATCTTACCATTCCTTCAACCACGGTTTTTTCTTTTCCTTCATCAATTGCTTCATCTTGAAAAATCAATTTAAAAAGCAATTGCACCACTGAAAAGGATATTAAATGGAGTATGTTTTCTGAAATTTTCTGGTCTCTAGGTTTGGAAGTAGTAGTTTAGAATCATTAGAGTAAGTTTTTCAACTTTGATAATTTTTTTTAAGCTCTCCCTACTAAAACGCTTATTTCCCGAACCTTTAATGTTTAGTATTGATCACATTCTATTGGAAATTTAACGTAGTTTTCAATAAATTCACTAATTTCGTGGTCCGCTTGACCAATTAATATATTACAATTAATTAAGGTTTTTAGTTGAGATAAAAAAGTGAATGGCACGAGCGGGATTCGAACCCAGGATCTTCGGCTTGATACGCCGCTGCTCTACCACTTGAGCTGTCGTGACCTCGATCCACTCGGGCACCAACTTCCCATCTCAACCCCACCTTTTGAATTTTCCCTCCTTTTTGCCATTTTTCAAATGTCGTGTAATCGGGTTGGATGCTCGACGACAAATGAAATGGCCACGGAGAGCTTTAGTGAAGTATTTTTTTTTCCGAGGATCTACGGAAGAGGTCAACACAGGGAAAAACTTCCTTTCGGTTTCGCCGAGCTTTCGACAGTTTTTATACTGTCATCTTCAGGGCCTGCTTTATTATCATATAAAAAAATAACAATTAAAAACATGAAAAACAAATTGCAGAAGAATTGCAAAGTACAGAAGTAAATTAACATTTTTTTGGGGCTCAGCATCTAAACATTATTTAAATTGAATAAATTAATAATTAAAAATTACAACTATAAGTATAATAAAAATTAAAAAACGTGGTCGAGAAAAGGTTACCTCATAAAAGAGTAAAAAACTAGTAAAAAGCTTCTTTTTTTGTTTTCAGGTACATGCGATACAGTGTGTTTCTTATACATACATATATATATATAACTAATTTATCTTATATTTAAATTACTTTACACTAAGAGCACAGATCAAAAAAACAAAAAACAAACCCTCTTCGACGAAAGGAACAAAGGCTCCGGGAAACGGTCCCCGAAAAAATGATGGCAACAAACTCGTTTTCTCTCTTCGTTTGTTTTCAGATATTTCAATTTTTGTGCAATTTGTTTTTTCATGTTTTTAATTGTTTTTTTTTATATGACAATAAAACAGGCCCTGAAGATGACAGTTTAAAAAAACTTTCGAAAGCTCGGCGAAAACCGAAAGGAAGTTTTTCTCTGTGTTGACCTCTTCCGTAGATCCTCCGAAAAAACTTCATGTTTCCAGCAGGTCGATAACCCAGCTCATCGAAATAAAATGTACTAAGACATAAGGTATACAGGAAGAGTGAAGAGGAAAGATTAAAGAGAGATATAAATTATTTGGAGAGGAAAGCAGAGGGAAAAAGAAGAAAGAGAGAAATAAAGCGAGTGGGAGATGAAAAACGGGAGAGAGAAAGAGAGAAGGGAAAAGAGAAAGAGAGAGAGAGAGAGAGATTTAATTAATTGTATTAAAAGATAAAGTATGTAGAAAATATGAGAGATAAAAAGAATGNGGCTACTCCCTCGCTATACACAGCACACGCCACACCATCGCCGGTCTTGGACCCGTCTGTAAAAATCAGACGAAAACCGGCGTATCTATTTCTAAGTTCAAGGAACTTAGCCTTGTAGAGGTATGGCGGTGTACACGATTTCGGCAAGTTCGCCAGATCGTCGCGGACGAGTACGGCCGGAAGGGTCCAGAGGGGTGTCGGGCGGTGCCCCACCCGAAGCACCGTCCCCAGCGCCAATCCGGCTCTCCCTAAGGACTTACCGAAGCGGATCCCGAGGGGTCGCGTACGCGAGCGAAGCCTGTCGTAAACTACTCTGTACGGGCAGTGGAGAATTTTCATAGCGAGGGGGTGCTCCGGCTTGGCCAAGAACCCGGCCGCGTAACCGAGGTTGAGTTGCTCTCTCCGAAGTTCGGGAGGCAAGACCCCCAGCTCGAAGCACAGACTGGCCAAGGGGCTGGTCCTGAACGCCCCCGAGATTGCTCTGAGACCCTGGTAATAGAGCCTATCGAGCTTTCTCAAGCGCGTTTTTCGGGCCGAGGAATAAGCCATAAATCCATAAAAGATCCTGGAACAAAGCAGCGAGTCAAAAATTGTTAGCAGAGTCTCTCTGTCCTCTCCCCACCAAAAGCGACCAACAAATCTCAACAGTGAGAGGGCTTTCCTGCTCTGGACCTCGACGGCGTCGATGTGTGCCTGCCATCTCAACTTTTCATCAAACAGGAGGCCGAGGAACCGCACCTTCTCCACGTACCTCACAGGTGTGCCCCTCAGGCAGTGTTGAGGGGGGCTATGGGCTCTCCTCAATCTGCAAAAGTGAACACACACCGTTTTCGAAGCGGAAAAGGTAAATCCGGTTTCCTCGGCTATCGCAGCCACATCGTTTATCGCCGACTGCATCCTACCGCCGACCTCCGCCAGATCCTTACCCGAATGGTAGAAGCAGAGGTCGAATTCTGAAGTATTGATGTCTGTTTTCGGGACAGCTAGTTGTATTATTGGCCTGATAATTTTTGTATAAAACCCGAGCTATTTTCACAATTCCTGGGATTTTTTTAAGTGTCGGTTCTTCGTCAGATTACGGGCTTGCCTCACCCTGTCTATATCCTTGACCGACTTCAGAAAATTGGGGAGGGGGCGTCGTTGGCCGCAACGGTTTAGGCGTTGACAAAGCGCTCATCACTGTAAGGTAAAGGTTCCCGTTCGACATACGTACAAATTAGCTTTAAAAAAAAAAAAAAAAAAAAACACCGTCACCCCGAGGGTTGATATAACATATGCTTTTGCGAAACCTCGTAAACAAAAATGGTCGGAACGATGAAACAGCAGGTTCATCACCACGCAGATCACACGAAGTCAGCAGAAAAGTAAAATATCCAGGAATATAATTGAGAGTGAGAATTTGTAAAATTGTCACTTTTTGGCCCAATTTAGCATGTAGGCTAAACTCCTGAGGTATCTGTCGTTCTTGGGAACATCCTGTGTGTGTAATAATTGAAGGTTATTTAGCCCCTTTGCTATTAGAATTGTACTCTTGAATGCAAATAAATGTTTAAATTTGCATATCGGAAATTAAAACTCAGTTGAAAATAAATTAAGTAAAAAAAAATAAATAAAAGCATATGTTATTTATTTTTGCGTCTGAAATATTATGAAACATTTTCACCGGACGCTTTCAGTCTTGATACATTTTATTTTTTTTATAACCGTACATGCTGAGAATCAATGGGATAGCATGAAATCGGGGAAGGTGTGCCAACTCGGCATTTACCCTTTTTTAGCCCAGTTGAAGAACATCGCCTCTAACAAACATATTTGCGCCGCTGCTATCGTGAGTAGGTTATTCGTTATAACATCTTGCCACTGTCTTAAAAAGCCGGTGTTAAACAAGAAGACGTACACGATGAAACTGGAGGAAATCTTGATTTTGGCCGGTGTCGACGCGTCCAAAGACGACGCCGTCCAACGGTTCCCCGAGATCGGTTTCTTGCACGAAAAATGCGACTACGAGAAGCCGGATGATTTCGTCGATATAGCGGGAATAAAAGTGACTTACCCGTTCAGCTACTCGACCACGGTCCAAGCCATGAAGTTAAACGATAAAAACAGCATTGATTACTCCTCCGAATTCAAAAAGATACAAGAAGGAAACCTCCAGTGCGAACACGTCACTTGGGTCACTCTGAACAGAAATTTCCCGTTGAGCCAGAGCAGAAGCAAATTGCTCGTCAGGGTGAACGCCGTCGTGAGAAAATCCGAACAATGCCGAGAAATGGTATGCAATTCGCAGAAGAAAATGAACGCCTCGTCCACGTGCGACTTCACGTTGTACAACCACGAAATGTGTTTTACTACCGCTCCGGACGACACTAAGTCATATTTTGACATGTACGAAGAAAGCGGTTTTATTATATGCAACAAGAAAGTCTACGCCGTGAAGAAATGCGCCGACCAGTCTGTATGCTTACTTGACAACGCACCGTCCATCTTCACGCTGATCACATCATTCCAGAAATTTGTTTCGAGCTTATCCGGATCTTTGTCTATTTTTCAAAACGCAAGTCTCGTCGAATTTACTTTTATCCAAATGTTGCTTTTAATTTTGTTTAATCTGATCTGCTGATATTTTTTTTATTTGGAAAAAATATTTCTATGCAACAAATAAAAAATATTTTTTAAACTAACGAGTTTTAATTTGCGATATGCATATTTAAAAATATATTTGCATTCAAGAGTACATTTCTAATAGCGAAGTGATGCATATTTTTATATTTTCAAATCACTTTTTCCCTCCCCACCCCAAAAAAAATCTAAATGCAAAAACTGCCATATTTTTGAAACTGTTAATTGATAGTTCACACAAATTGAAAAATTCTAAAAACCTGCAAGCACTAGCCGCACTGTCATATTATTTTATATCTGCTTGCGGTTGAGTCTGCCTGCCTGAGACGTTGGCCTTACGTTCATCCTGTAAGAGGAACCTGGTTAACAATGTGTGGAAATGACAATTAATTAAGGTTTTTAATTTACATGAAAAAAAATTAATGGCACGAGAGGGATTCGAACCCACGACCTTCGGCTAGATACGCCGCTGCTCTACCACCTGAGCTCTCGTGACCTCGATCCACTCGGACACCAACTCCCCATCTCAACTCCACCTTATGAGTTTTCCCTCCTTTTGCCATTTTTCACCGATTACACGACATTTGAAAAATGGCAAAAGGAGGGAAAACTCATAAGGTGGGGTTGAGAGGGGAGTTGATGTCCGAGTGGATCGAGGTCACGATAGCTCAGGTGGTAGAGCAGCGGCGTATCTAGCCGAAGGTATGGGTTCGAATCTCTCTCGTGCCATTAGCTTTTTTTCATCTCAACTAAAAACCTTAATTAATTGTCTTCGATTAATTGGTCAAGCGGACCACACAATTGATTATGGGTCGGTTTTCTATGGACACACCCCCAATTCTGTACAACGACGAACTGCAGTATTTCAACGCAAATGCCTGCGGCGTATCCTGGGATGTCTTCCCAGCACTCCCATACCTGCTCTTTATGCCGAAGCATGTGAGCCACCACTGAACTTAAGATGGGAAAAATATGCAAAAAACTGCCTAATTAAAATGTACGCTAAAGATAGTCCGCTATTAACGAAAGTAAGCCATTTAGCTCAAAAGGTTTTGACAGACAGATACTGGCGAAAGAAAAAAGCTCCGCTTATAGTGGAATCGTTCCTCACCCTAGTCCCAACAATATATTCTGTTTACAAAAATCCGATACTACCAATCTTCTCGCTGGAATATCAAGCAATAATAAGCGAAATAAATTGTCAAGAACTTAATTATACAGGACTCCCAGCCAATCACGCAGAAATGCACTTCAGGGCAGACAGCTGCGAAAAGTTCCCAGATCACCTCCTCATCTTCACAGACGGATCAAAACTTAATGGTTCCACGGGTTGTGCATTTTATGACAGCCTGAACCAGTATCACGAGAAACATCTACTTCCGAATTTGGTTAGCTCTTACACAGCAGATGGTATAGCCATTCTGAAAGCGCTGGAATACGTCGCGAGGATACCAAATAAAAAAATTGGGATCATGACGGACAGCCTCAGCACGATATGCCAGCTACGCTCTTTCAATCTTCATAATAAGTATGAATACATTATAATCGAAATTGTCAGGTTAACCTTCAAATTAAAAAATCAAGGCAAAAACATTGTAATATGCTGGATAAAAGGGCATGCAGGTATAGAACACAATGAGAGAGTCGACCAGTTAGCCAAGGAGGCAACCATTAAAGGTTCTCCCACGCCTGTGCAGCTAACCGTCGGAGACATGACAAACAATATAAAAAGAGACATATGCAGAAAGTGGCAAAACTGGTACGATACGGGCACAGCAGGGAATTTCTACCGGTCATTATTTCCAACATTACAAAAGAAGCCGTGGTTTCAAGAAATAGAGAGAGGAAAAGCTTTCTTCTCAACAATTACACGACTCCGAACTGGCCATGGCATCTGCGGCTCATATTTATACAGGATTAACTGTAGAACATCGCCAAACTGTGCAACGTGCGATGTAGAAGAGAGCCTTGACCATATAATATTACAATGCACCGAATATGAGGCTCAGCGAGAACAATTACAGAAAGAATTGGACGCTCTGGGGCAAGTGAAAAGGCCAATGAACTTAAGCTCGCTGCTGGCAGAGGGTGACAAGGAGGTCTATGACGCCTTGTACAAATACTTCAAGAATTGTGATATTAATGTTTAAGTTGCTGTTGTTTATCGTATTATTTATTTATATTATTTATTTACAAGCCTATTTGTTTATTTATCTAGTCATTCCTTTACATAAATAGATACTTTGATTGTTAGTCACTGGTACCTGAATCTGGCTGAATATCCCTGATAAAGCCAAAAAAAGGGGAAAAAAAACCCCTCCACAAAAATAAACCTTTTATATTGTTTATCTGCCGGATAATATTCATTATCAACTTCCTTTCCAAAGATCGCCCAAGTTCCATCCCGATACCATCAACGTTAGGTTATATATTCCCACGATCTTTCCTCTTACATCGATCATTCGTTTAAAAAGTTCGTTCAAGCTTTGTAGGATCCCATTTCCGGAGAGGGAAAGATTTAATAAGAGGCGGTTGAGGTTTTTAGAAGTTCGCTCTCTAAGTCGATCCCCGAACCCCGTTGATAGTCACCGAGCCGAAAGGAAAGCTCTTACAATCTGCGAAACCCGCCCTGTCGGCCGGACAAAGGATGAAGATGATCCCATTAAAAACTTAGGACAAAGGAGAAACTATGTAATTTTGATGACGTCATCCAATAATTTGAATCCGCCCTAATAGCAAATATATTGCGATATAATCGTCGTCAATGCTTTAAGTTTATTTATAACTTGTTTAAATTTCGAAATTCATATTAACCATTTTTTAAATCATTAAAAAAACTTAAGAGATAAGTTCATACTCACTCTTTTTAATTTCACATTAACCCTTTCTTTAAATTATTATTTAATTGGGAGATAATTTCATAGTAACTCTTTTTAATTTCAAATTAACCCTGCCTTTAAACCATTAAAAAACTCACGAGAAAATATCATATTTCAAATAAAGGGTTCTTCTTTTAGTTTCAAAAGCAAATGCATTTTGAATTTCAAATCAACCGTTTTTAAGTTCAAGTTTAACTCTTTTACATTTCAAATGAACGTTTGTCACTTCAAGTTAATCTTTCTTAATTTCATACCAGTCTTTTTAATTTCAAATTAAGCCTTTCTGTAAACCAATAAAAACATAGGAGATAAATTCATACTAACACTTTTTAATTTCAAATTAATCCTTTCTTTGAACCATTACAAAACTCACGAGACAATATCAAATTTTAAATAAAGGATTCATCTTTTAATTTTAAAGCAAATGCATTTTGAATTTCCAATCAACCGTTTTTTCATTTCAATTTCATACTGAGTCTTTTTAATTTCAAATTAAGCCTTTCTGTAAACCAATAAAAACATAGGAGATAATTTCATTCTACCCCTTTTTAATTTTAAATTAACCCTTTCTGTAAACGAATAAAACCATAGGAGATAAATTCATACTGTCTTTTTAATTTCAAATTAACCCTTTCTGTAAACCAATAAAAAACTTAGGAGATAATTTCGTATTAACCCTTTTTAATTTCAAATTAACACTTTCTTTAAACGATTGAAAAACTTAGGAGGTAATTTCGTATTAACCCTTTTTAATTTCAAATTAACCCTTTCTGTAAACCAATAAAAAACTTAAGAGATAATTTCGTATTAACCCTTTTTAATTTTAAATTAACCCTTTCTGTAAACCAATAAAACCAAACGAGATAAATTCATACTAACTCTTTTTTATTTCAAATTAACCCTATCTGCAAGCCAATAAAAACAAAGAAGATGAATTCGTACTAAGTATTTTTAATTTCAAATTAATCCTTTCTTTAAACCAAACAAAAAACTTAGGAGATATTTTAGTATTAACCCTTTTTAATTTTAAATTAACCCTTTTTTTAAACCATTACAAACTTAGGATATAGTATCAAATTTAAAATAAAGCATTCTTCTTTTAACACACACACACACACACACACACACACACACACACACACACACACACACACACACACACACACACACACACACACACACACACACACAATTAATGAGATTTTAAAAACTAAACCTCATTATATTTAATTAATATAATTGTTTTAATTTATATAGTATGTGTTTATGCGTTACGTTTTATGCGTTTTGTGTTATGTGCTGGTGGGAATGTAAATTATTAGCGTGAAAGAGGGGATTATCTTCCACCTTGAGGAATATCGAGTACTATGGGTTGAGAGTTCGTTGTCTGGAGAATGCAAGTAATTTATTAGCGTGAAAAGAAGGGGTTGTTCAACACTGCCCCGAGAAGTATTGAGTACTCAGTGGTAGCGAATTTGACCAGACTGAACTTGTTTTAAGAGAGGGCCGTCGATGACCAATTATTTTTATAAAAGTTTAAATAATTCTCGAATTAATAGAATAATAGTAATATTTTCATGTGATATATTAAATAAGAATCTACTTTATATTTTTTAAATTTATTTTTATATGCCATATTATTTCGTATATGGCATATAATTTTTTTATAGATGTAAAGAAAGGATGGACTTGGAATTTAAAAAGGTTAAAACATTTAATTTACTGAAGATTCTTATCGTTTTTGTGGCTTTTATACAGCCTCCCCTAAGTAAAAGACGAATATTACTTATCAGCTTTCTCACTCTCTACATTCGCGCTAATAAATACATTTAAACGCTGAGAGTTATCTCTAACAACTGTGTAAAGTCATGAACTTAAAATAGTAACAGAGGACAAAAGATCACGTAACATGAAATTCGTATCAGACTGCGTTCCTACTCGCTTCCTCTGAAGAGCCAGACAATAATGCATTATTCGAGCATATTTTAGTTTATAACGATTCACCTATGCTACGCTGATGATTATTGCCGTGGACATTGGGCCAAAGTTAAAAGTTATGAATTTTATAAGTGAAACATCGGACATGTTTGACATGATAAAAAATACCCCCTCCCCAATATAGCTCAAAAATGTATATTTTTGTTTTCTATAAAAT